AAAATGCAAATCTTCTGTATTCTATCAATTCTGAGGTTGAGGATATCATGTGTTTTTCCACTTATTTGGATAGCCTTTATCACTAATTGATTCCTCTTGGAACGTAAAATCATAATTTTTATATTCTTAAAAGATACTATTTAATGTGATAACTACAAGATAGTTGATAGATCCCTGATTGTTATCATTAACTCCAAAAGCATGCTTCAAGTTTATTATCTAAAAAAATAAAATCCCAAAAGGTTAAAGAAATTTTACGTAACCAATTTTACTCCGTTGTGTACGTACGTGTGCGTATACGGCGAAATATACGTAGTATAGAGAAAGTTACGCAGGCCTAATGCTGCGGAAAATCGATTTCGAGATTTCATCGGAAATACATTCTGGGGACTCCCTGACGCCGAAAACTTTTTTTTTTCTTTGAAAATATCCGTTGTCAGTAAAAAACACTTGCGCTTAAACTAAGCGTAGGATTTTTTTCCAAACTGAACACTGGTTGATCTGGCCCAACTCAAAGCTTCCCGTTTTTTAATAAAGTTCGTCAATTTTAGGGTTACTTTACATAAAGCCCTGGGAGGGTTTCAAAAATTTCTCCAAATTGGCTTCAATTTCTTTGTGTACACTTATTAAGATGGCATAAGTCCTATTTTCACTTAAATTTCCAAAATTGCTACACTTCGAAATTTTTGCCGGCGTTTTTCTGCAACTACAAAATTAAAGACTGAGATTTTTCTTTCAAATGAAATTTGTTTTTCGTAATTTGTTCTTTCATGAAGTTCGTGGATATTTTGTTGAAAAAAATTAGTAGTTTTCGTGCATACGTACAATTTTTAAAAAAATTACCCCAAACAAGAATTTCCAAAAACGGTTCCGATTTTTTCTTTTAATTTCTGGTAGGGATAGTGTTAAATGTACTGGGATATATACCATAAATGTCATTTTGCTCTATTCTTTTGTTTTTTCAAAAATTCCACAATGTAATTCATTTTTTGAGATCACACTCAAGTCCTTAATATTTACAATGTCCACTATTTGTATATATTATTGCATTTATGAGTACATGTGCTTCAAATTATGTCGTGAAAGTATCTCGAAAACTCAAAGTTTTCTGTGCAAATGAACTAAAATTTCAGAATCGCACAAACGCCATTTTCTCGAATACGGCTTCACTTTTTTTCTTCAAACTTTTCGAACGGATAGTGCTAATTGCGCAATTTTCTTTCTTTATTAAACTTTTTTTAAAAGATTTTTTACGCCGTTAATATTTGTTTTACCAGCAATTTGCATATATTATTGTATTTGTGAGCACAATTACTTTACTATGATTTCGAACGAAATTTCTCGAAAACTCAAAAGTTTTGGGTGTAAGTGAGATTCAAAATGCGCATTTTCAGAAACGCTCTTACATTTTCTCGAAAACTGTTCCAAATTTTTCAACAAAAATATCCACTTGGAGCGAAATTTTACTTCCACTATTCTCTTAATATCATGTTTCAGTTCTACTATTAAGGGACCAAAATATTCAAAAAATCCGAAAAGCCAGCCCAGACCAAAGAAATTAGAGAAATAGTACGAGAATGTCTGTGCCATTCTGCGGCTCCACGAGATTACTTTTTCGCACTTCGTGAGAACTCTTATTGCCGGACCCTAGTAACGAAAGAGTTGAGAAATCGTGTTCCTGCTCGTAGTAAATTATTTCTGTTGCATTATGTATTCGAAATTCATGTTCTATGGGTCCTTGATACCAAAGAATCGATATGATATCAAAACGTCGGTCTTTGGTCAACAATAGTGCCTAAACCCTTCAGTCGATTTCTCCAAAATTTATATTCCCTGATCGTTTTATATGAACTCCAAATCCTCTGAGTCTGAAACGGACATTTTAATTTTGTGGGTAGGCCCTACTCAATAAAGTCTCATCATTTTCAAAACTTTCTCAAAAATGACTAATTTTTTTCTGAGTTAACCCTATGCATGGCTAGCATAAAGTGCGCTTCAGAGAATGGTCTCATTTTCGTTAAAATCATTAATTTCTCGAAAATTGAAAAATTTCAAATTTTTTCAACATCATCCTAAAACTACAATATTGAAGATAGACTTTTTTCCCCTAAATGAAATCGGTTAAAGACATCATGAAATAAGGTCATGTACAACTTTTCAAAAATATGAGCACTTTTCTCGAGAATTTTTGAGAAATGTCAATTTTTTTGAACATGTTTTTTCTTGAAAACTGCTCCAATGTTGTTTCCTTGGGAATATAAGTGTATACAACAAAACTGTGGAAGACATGTAAACAAACTTAATAACTACAATAGAATATGTGGAACAATTACGAGACCCTTTGGTAGAGACATGGATCTGGAAACAAAAATGAAACTCCACAATGCAGCTGCCAAACCTGGAATCATGGCTCTAAAACATGGGTAATGAAAGAGGAAGACAAATAAAAACTACAAGCAGCACATATGAGATTTGTAAGACACCTAATGGGAATCACAAGAAGAGACAGACATATCAGAAAAAAATTGAAAACCAAATATTTAGTAGAAGAAATAGAACAGTCTCAGGGAGATTGGAAGATCATTTATAGACAACGAACAACAAAAGATTTCCAAAATTAATCTGGATGTTCAAATCAATAGGGATCAGAGATAGAGGGAGACGACTAAAGAGGTGGCATCAGCAGGAACAGTTGGAAGAAAAATAATCTACAATGGTAAATCCTCATATTTTGTCAGCGTTGTTAATATTACCTTCTAACTGTTTACTCTTAAATATGACAATGGAAATAATGTAATTTTTATTTATTTATTGGGCTTTCTGGGCCCTCCAACTGCTGAGGTAATTGGGGCCACTGGGTGATAATCTAATGGGTAGATGATTGTAATTATTATGATGGGAATATGGTGGAATGAAAAGAGGGAAGAAAAAAAAGGGAGAACCCTGAGAAAATCTGCAGAGCTCACTTTGTCCACCACAATTTCCATATAAATTGGCTGGGAATCGAAACCAGGCTCTTAGCGAAGGAATACGAAAGAACTCTCTATTATACAGTGAGCCCTCTTATAATTTTTATAATGAAAATTAAATTAAATCATCTTTAATGATTTTATGGCTTTGCGTTCTCATACATATCAGACTTTTATATTTGTTAACAAATTTATTTCTATGTTTCCAAACGTGAAATCAAACTATTTAATAGAAGAAAGGAAAGAAAAATGTTAACAAGAATAGAATATAACAATTAGTTGGCCAAAATTGCAGTACATTAATTTCCAGTCTGGAAAGTCTTTTATTTAGTTTTTTATTGTAATATTTATTTTCCCATGATTTCTGAAGAAATGTACTTTTGAGGGGATTACGATTGCTTCAATCTTTTGTCTTCACAATTTTCTCTTAGCTATCTCTTATTTCCATCTTTGTAGGATATTTAAAACAAAGAAAATTATTTCCACCTCAAAGTGTTGAATTGTTAACTTTCACTCTACTGATAATGAATGGCTGATACAACCCTAATATGAATAAAATAATTTTCAATTTTTTGCTAACATTTTATTCTTATGTTACTTTTTACATTTCATTAAATATTATAGAACTTACCCAAGGCTGGTTCATGATAATTGATAAACTGACCTGGAATGAAGTGTATTGAATTGAGGGAGTGGCTTGAATATCCTTTTTATATTATGATAATTTAATATTATTTTCTTTTGGAATTATAAAAACAATTATGAAATGAATATTAATAAAATTATGTTGAGATCTTGATGGACTTGATGTATTTTGGTTCTGTGCAAATTATTTCTGAAACATAGAAAGGAATCTAGACATTTAGTTTGAAAGACAATCACAGTCTAGTCTTGATTCCATGTAAGGGCATCTAAATACCACTCCAAATCTTTGCTAACATATTAATACCAGTATATTTTAAGGGTCATAGACCTCATAAATGACTTATCCTCATGATTTATTGGATAAATAATGTGTGTATGATGTGGTTACCATAGAGTATATGTGTGGTTAGTTTTAAAACATTAAAATGAAGATAATAAATTGGAACTTGATAAAATGAAAATCCAATTTTCAATCATACTGATTACTTTTCTCCTCTCAATAATTATTTTTAAAAAATTGTGTGCAAGAATATAGATCACTTGTAAATAAATAAGTAAATAAAAGCCGGCCTAGATAGCGAAAGTCACTAAGGCTGGAGGGCCGAAGCTGTCTTGGCTCGAAGGGTTGCAGGTTCGAATCCCACCTCGAACATGGATGTTTGTGTGTGTTCTTGTTGTTCCTACAGTTCCCCCTGCAGTTAAAACAGTGATCACTATAATACTATGATATTGAAAACCTTAATCCTTAAAACATAATTAAAGATTAAGTGTATTTGAAAATGGGAAAGAGCATTATTGTTAAATTTATTTTATCTTGTTATTTGAACTTTGATTTTGAAATTTATTTTATGATTGTAGTTTCAATATAAATTTATAATTCCTTGAAGATTGACTGCTTGTGTTGAAACTTCATTGCAAGATTTGTACTAATTGAAAAATAAATTGCTTGTTTACCGTCGTAATGAATCAAAATTTTGAATTGTAAATTAAAGTATTGGTTGATAAGTTGGTTATTTCATGTACTGAACAATGTTTCTCTTCAATGTGAAATAGACTAATGAATATTTAATTTCAATATTACTTTTACTTTACATTAAAATATTAGTATGAAATTTAATGTTGATGTAACCAATGTTCGAAAACGTGTAGTTCATTTTTGTTGTAGAACAGAATTTGTGTCATAGTATACATATCAAAAGATTCAATAAAAACATTTATTTTGATTAAAATTTTAATAATTCAATTCATTGTTTCAAGTTAAAGTTCTTCATTTTAAATATTGGTGCTTCATTATTACATTATATTGAGGTAATATAAACATTACGACTCTTGGATTGCGATAGTCCTTGGCAAATAAACCGTTCGTATTACGCGCGAAGACACTGACCTGAGCAAACGACGGTGACGATAGACGTCGTCACATCCATTTTCTAATTACGAGAATCAGTTTGACTTCATTTACAGCAGTTTCATTACCTCGCAATCTTAAAATTCTTATTTTATTTTTTTAAAGCTATATATTTTTACCAAAGTTTAGAGATAAGTAATGGAAAATAAAACATAATTTGATTACTTTCTGAGGTTTGCATGACAATCCTCGGCCATATTTTGTCAGATCGAGCGATTTTCAGGGCCAAATATCTTGTGTTTTTCCTTGTGTGTACGAAGTGACGTTTACAAATTTAGTTTTAGTGTGTATTGTTGGTAGTTTGTGTTCTTAAAGAAGTAAGCAGAGTAGCAGGTATGCGATATAAACCCCCTTGTGTGATTCAGATGACATATTTATTGTGATTGAAGTACAATGTATTATGCGCAATTCGTGTGTTTTGAGGGACTCTGATGAAATTAAGCTACTGTCTTGTACTCTAATGATTCTTTTAACAAACGATTTCATAAGACTACAATGTGTTAAAGCATTCTTTTTGTAAAATATGGGTGCCTCCCAATGACATCCATTGTGTCAATCCAGCTTCCTATTTGGTGTGATGTTTTGTCTGATATTGATATTATATATTTATTGTTATTAACGAGCCTTATGTAATTCTTTTTTCAGAAGTAAAAATGTCGGCTGGACCCTACAATTATTCTTATATTTTCAAATATATTATTATTGGTGATATGGGAGTAGGAAAATCCTGTCTGTTACATCAGTTCACAGAAAAGAAATGTAAGTTCTTGTAAATGTTATTTTTTTTCTTTATTTTTCTATTGAAGATATCATTTAAGATGTTTATAATGGTTGTAACACTTTGTTATGTTTCAAATCACTTTGATTTGGGTTTTCCATTTGTAAGTTCGTTGTTAATTTGACAAGTTTTCTTCATTTTTTCAGTTATGGCCGATTGTCCGCACACTATTGGTGTTGAATTTGGGACACGGATTATTGATGTATCTGGGCAGAAAATTAAATTGCAAATATGGGACACTGCTGGTCAGGAACGTTTCAGAGCGGTCACAAGGTTAAACAAACTGTCCTAGAATTGTTCTAAAATAGTCTTATATTAAGATCATGTCTCCAGCCTTTTATTTATTGTTCAGGTCGTACTACAGAGGTGCTGCTGGTGCATTAATGGTGTATGATACAACTCGTCGTTCAACATATAATCATTTGAGTAGCTGGCTTACTGACACAAGGAACTTGACAAATCCTAGTACTGTAAGCATATAAAATGTTCTTTTTGTTTTAATGCTTTCCGAAGTGAACATTATAAGTTTTGTTTTCTGTCCACTCTATTTCATTCTTTTGGAATATGAATCTGAAGGTTTAATTTGTGAATATTTCACCAAAATTGTACAATTTCCTTTTTTGAAAGGTAATATTCCTGATTGGCAATAAATGTGATCTTGAAGCACAGAGAGATGTTACATATGAGGAAGCTAAACAGTTTGCTGATGAAAACGGTCTTATGTTTGTGGAGGCTAGTGCTAGAACGTAAGTCAATTTTAAAATATTTCTGAATTGTTTTCATATTGCCCATAAAATAGATATTTGAGTGTGTTGTTTTTTATGCAGAGGAGAAAATGTTGAAGAAGCATTCCTTGAGACAGCTAAGAAAATCTATCAGAGCATTCAGGATGGCAGGTGTGTAAATATTTGAAACATTTAGTATATTTTTTATATGAAAATTGGGACTAATGCATAATTTATATGAAAGGTTGGACTTGAATGCTGCCGAGTCTGGAGTGCAACACAAGCCAGCTCAACCTGGGCGTAACACTCAGCTGAATGATCAACAGGCCAATAAAGACAGCTGCGCATGCTAGGTAGGTATATTGCTCATTTGAGAAATTTAGAGATCTAAGCTTCCTAAAGTCGAGGGATTCAATCTATCCAAAGTCAGGTAGTCCCCAACCTACTAGTTAGTGTGGCCTGTGACAGCCTGATTGCTTTTGTATGTGTTTGGAAAACTTCCACCATTCGATATATGAAACACCTCGCTAATATTCTGCAAAGTAGCTTGGAAACACTGAATTAAGCAAATGTGTACATTTATAGCCTCAATACAGGATAGTTAGTGTACCTTGTGTACATACAGGGTGTTGCTTTCAGTGACACCATGATTAGTCTAATTACAAGCACAAAAGTGGGAGGCTACAGTCCCCTCGTCCTGCACCCAAAGCTGTGAGGTCTCTAAATGTCTGATGCATGCAATAGAACACTCACTGTATGTGTGATTATAATCTGTTAATTTTATTGTAAGAAGTTGTATTGTTTTGCAGGTTCAAACGAGCATGTCTGTCATATCTGTGTAAGGGTGCTGTGTCACTGCTTGTGTGAATATCCCCAGTGACTATTGAGTCATCAGTGATAACATTTCTTTGTGATACAACTAACGTCCGAACTGCTGGAATGTCCAGCATGGGGACTTGATTAACGGCTCTATGCAAGGCAACATGTTTCATGAATTCCAACGCGGGTAGGTTTGCACTTTTATCTTGAGGCACCTTGCTTTGATCTGTGAAAGAAGACAGAGTTCTCGTCTAGCAAATTATGATCATAAAATGGAACATTTTATTTAATTCTACAGTCATCGAAGACCTGAACTTTCTTTCTTCATTTCTCCAACAAACTCTATACTGCCTACTGACTAACAAAATACCTCTTCATTTATCTGTTAAATGAAATATTATAAGAGCCCCTTCACCACTTTTCTATTTAAATTGGGCTACTGAAATAGTTTTGTTATTTTTGACCATGAGACACTATTTTCTGTTATAACGCAACTTACCCTGACTCTACTTGTACGCTGTATTGTATATATTGTAGTAGTTGTTAGGCTTTCTGTGGTTAAGGATCTATTCTTTGTATTGAAAAGTTATCTAGATTTTTGGATTTTAAAATCCTGGTTGAGATTACAAGAGCTTTCAGCTGTAGCATTGTGCAGTTATCATAATCTCAGACATAGGACCATCACTATTTTTTTTATTATGATTATTTTTATTAGTGATATGCAGATTGCTCATAAGAACAAAAACACTGGGAATTTCTTCCTTCTCAAGCAGCAGAGGGTGGGTGGGTGGCCCAGGGAGCGTTGTCAGTATCTACTAACACCATGTGGTACGTCAGCGGAATGAATGCTGTAAATGATCTCCATGCTCCCTTCCATTTAGACCCCAGCATGCTGTTAATCTTGAGGGTCTGTGACCTGATCCTTGGAAATGTAAATGAATTCTATTATTACAGAGTGTCCTTCAGGTGTTTTCTCTGGTAGATATTTTATTATTATTAATATTATTGGGTAATGTAGATACAGAATATTGTTTTGTTATATTCTCATTATGGGATTTTCAATAATGGGTGATAACATTGGAGATTTCTCCTAAAATTTCAAGCCAAAGATGTCTGAATTATAAATATTGTATCATTTGTCTATTGTTATTCGGGATATAGTTCGAAAATTACACAGTACGGTATTGTGGACTTGAAATTGACTTGATAGTGAGGAAAAGGTATTGTATTCTTCTTTAATCAATAATGCACCATGAAAACACTTTTTTCCATTTAATTAGGTTCGTTGTACATTGTTACAAACATGGGTGTAAACATTATTACTAGTTATTTAGGGTTTGAAAGAATGTGTGTTTATGTGCATGTAGTTTGTGTTCATGTTGTACAGCTATGACTCAAGAATTTAAAAATGATTATGAGAGGCCCTAATATTCCATAACATATTAAATTTACATTTGTGCTTATTGTACAACATTGCATTTTAGTTACACTTACTAGAACAAACTCTGGTATACAGCATGTGCCTTGTCTCACTAACCCAGTCATTTTATGACCAAATTTGGGTGTTGAGCAGGGGTGAAGTGGAATGTTGTACAAGGAATCATAAAATGTTGCATGATTCAGGATTTGAATGTTGAGTGGCAGAATGATTGTGTGGGAGAAAAATTATATATTGGGAGATAGTTTAAAAAGGCTCTCTGTTTGGTGCTGAAGGGTCACATGATCTGTTAGTAAACTGGCCAATAGGGAGTAATATTTTTTCCAGTAAAGGAGGTAGCAGTTTCATTTCAGATTTGTTTGGATGAGTTCTTTACCGGTCAAGTGAGCCTTTTTAAAAATCATGTCATTGTCTATTCTAACAACCATACGATACTGTTTGTGTGAACTTTGTAACATATATTGTATCATGCATTAAGTTAATGAAGTAGCATCATATGTAAACTGGCTAAAATTTATGTGATCTTTATTATATTGAGAACAAATTATATATAGGAAATAGTAGGAGTTGGAATGTTGCTTAATTTGCTGCATTTTTTCACAGTATTGTCTTCATATATGCTGAATTCTCATGAGGTTTATTTATTTACCATGAAATTAACTTATGGATAGAATGTAAAGAAAATATATGAAAAATTTGTTTAATAATTTTTTATTTGAAATTATTGAATTAAGTTTTCAAGTATTTTCTTATAGATTGAGAGGAAGGAATACATTATTTCATAGTAGTTATGAAATTAAAATGTTCTTTGGACAGCTGTTGTTGGCAACAATATTCTTTAAAGAATTATGAAATTTGTTCATAATATGACCAGAAACTGTTGTCAACAAAGCATTTTTGGAATAGATCAATAATTTCAAATTTGTATCCATGTATCATTATCTTGTTATGAGTGGGGTAAGATTTTTGTTAAATCTAAATATTTCATTGGTAGTTAATTTTATGTACTGTACCTCCAATTAAATCTGTAATGGTTGCATCCATAACTGTATTGTGCTGGTCACTTGTCCCCCACCTTGAGCTGTATCACTCTGAATAAAACGACATTCCGACAAAGTTATTTTGTAATTCCTTTTTATAAAAAATACCCACTTATTCACTCCTTCAACTACCTATTTTTTAGAATTTCTTTTGTTTATGATTATTGAAATAAATTTATATACCATTGATGAAAATGAAATTTTAAGCAATTTGCCAATACACAATATATTTGCAACATATTTCAGTTAAATGTTTTGATTGAATATCGTTAATAAATTGAAAAAATTGTGGGATTATTTTAACGTTTCCTAAAATTATTGGTTGATTTTTCATTTTATATTGTGAATGAAATGTTTTTGGGATTTCAAATTTATTCTCTGCTTTTAAATACTGATTTAATGCTTACGCGATGAGTAGTGATATAATTAGAAGATTTCTTTAATAAAATTAAATTAAATTAAAATAAATTCTATATTCCAAAGATCAGAAAATTAATCTTGGAAGCATATTTCCAAATTTAGATAAATTTCCGAAATTAGAGGTATATTATAGGGTAATTTTATATTGTGGTCGTTATATGTTTAAATTTTGCTAATTATAAAAAAATCAATGCTGAACTTTAACCTAGGATTTTCTCTTAAAACTCATTTTTGTGGCATGCAGATAACTGAAATCGTCCATTGTCATAATGCGGTAGCGTTTGTCTATCTCCAGCAGATCCATGAAGTTTGGTTATTTTGTTCTAAAATTGGGGATTACTTTTTAGATCTGTGTTGCTTGGTTTTCATTGTAATGGAGAGTATTTACTAATTCATTCAAATAAGGGAAGATTCCATTTTTATTTTTTTCGAATTAACCGAAAGTAAGCCCAATCTTAGAGAAAGAATCGCAAAAACAAATAACTTGATCGATATGCCTTATATGCTACGTTTTTGGCACCCAAATCTGCCGTCCTACGCTAAACTAATAAACTGATATTTCTTGTGGAGGAAAAAAATGTAATTTATGTGGAGTGCTGTCTCGTGCGTTTCCCACGGTGAAAGATTCTCAGCGTAATATCCACGAAAAGCTAGATATGCAACTTGTAATTAGCACGTGCAGCGAATTGTGGGTTATAAACAACCCCACGAGCGGGAACTATGGCAGGAGCTCGAATCAGTATTCGTGGACTGAATGGTGTGTGCAGTTGTACACAGCGTGGCGAGGGCATCTATTAAGAAACTGGATGATTCATAGAGGAAAAGAATGTTTGAAGTGTGATTTAGTGTGTTGAGGGAAAAAAATACCAGTTTAGTAGTGCGGGACTCACATTACTGATATTTTGCGTGAATTGTGTGTGCAAGTGCAAGAGAGTGGGGCGTGCCGTCCTTGATACTGGATTGCGACTGAGAACGTCTTGTATAGAAGAGTGATCAGGATGTTCTGTGCTTCTGGAATGGCGTGTCACTAGGTACATGTGGGGAAGTGCTCCGCATACATGTGAACAAAATGGTCTGCTCACATGATGAAGTTGGGCGGCGAGTGGGGTTTCGAGAAGTCTGCGGCAGTCCATCAATAAGGTAGGAGAATGCTCACGTATCGCGAAGGGATAATATCGCCGGGTGTTTATCTGGATCTTCCAAAAGTGTGTGATCTGATCTTCCAAACGTGAGTGTACGCTCAAATTTGAATGTCGATCTCGACGATGAAATCGACTGCTGTCACGAGCAGTTTGTTTGGAAGTGGTTATGTTGTTGCTACATAAGCAGCACTATCTTCACAAAATCTTCCATAGATCCCGCCCTAACATATATTATCAAAATGTATCATTCTTCCAAAATCTATCCTCAGTTCCCGGCGCATTTCACTTCAATCTAGGTAAAGAGCATCCCATAGAACCTCGTGTACGCGACCTTTCACAACTTTCGTAAATTGGCCGACCTTAAGCAATGAAATAATCCAACAACATAAATTCCAACAGTATGATTTCTCCCTCTTACGTATCATTACTTAATTCTGATGTTTAAAGAGAGGTTGCCATAGCCACCCAATTCGCATCATCATTGCCTGAAATTGCCCGCTCCACTGGCGTTAGTTCTCCAGAGGAGGCCCTTGGACAATACGGAGCCTCCCCTATCTGAAGATATTAATTTAATGTTGTACTTGTAAACTGAATTTTAAGAGTAAAAACATTATTACAATAAATTATTATAGAAAAATAATGTAATTTGTGCAATTTCATGTCATAATTTAAATTTTAGTATTGTATACGCATTAGAAATGTATGACAATGTTAGTAGGAATATTATTTTTCAACCACATCGTTGTTTCGTTCTCAATTAATAAAATATTTAAATTACTCAGACGGTCTTGTGCACATTGTAGTACACACCCCGTACTTCGTAAATAATTTTAATTCCCTTTCATTTCGAAAACGTTCTTTCGGAGCTGGCAAGCTTGACAGGAAGTGTCAATAATGTGCATCGGGAAAACTTATTAATAATTGAAGATGGCTCATTATTAACAAGTTTGCAAGATCTTTAAAAGATCTTAGTTTGGAAATTTGACTCTTTGAATAATTGCACAAAGACAATAACTGAGACGACAGGTTTTCCGCAAGATCTTCAGGGTGTTTTGATTGAAGTTTTTGTGCTTCTTCGTAAGTTTCATCATCGAAAGAGCTAACAAAACTTGCGACTGAATCACTTTGGAAATTGCCACTGTATTTTCCAATCCAACAAACAGTCGCTCCTACTGGAGAATGGCAATATTCAGGAATCCATGGTTATTTTGTAAGTTTGTATTATTGTTTGCCATGAGTGGGTGTTCCTCGCACAGTTCATCAAAATGTCATTTCGTTTTCTTCACTCATTTATCGCTACATTTCACTTCTACCTTCCAGACTTTGAATAATTCTATTGCATCATTTTTCAAATCATCATAGTGATTCCGAACAGTGTTAAATTTTTCGTAAGGTTTATTGAGTAAATTTTGGGTCGTTTACAAATCTAAATAAAGACTTCGAAGGTATTTCGAAAGTATTAGTTCATATTATTTTGGAATGTAGTTCAACGCGGGAAACAAACGCGAAATTTTCCATTACTTTTTTCAAGTAACAAGCTTCATTCGCTTCAGACATTTTGTTAGAAAATTATTTTTTGTTAAAGCTTGCAAAATATTACACAGCACAGGCGAAATAGTGAAAGCACAGGCGAGAAAGTACGTGCTTACCACAATTATTTCTTGTTTAAAGTGGATTCGAATAGTAATTCTGTTCAATATTTAAAAATTGTGAAATCCGTATAGGAGTTTAACTCTTAAGTAAAGTGCGATTTAAAAGCTCGCAGTAGACCTAAAACGGGATCGAAAATGACTCCGTTAATTTGCAGCCCCCCATTAATGACCACAGCTGCCACTGTGAGAAATTATTTTGCAATTTAACTAAATTCATCACAGTTGATATGTTGCACCGATTAATGCTACGACCAAAAAAAATGTATATTCGTTCCTGCAAACAGTAAAATGTCTGAACTTCTAATACACCATTCAAGACATCATTACACATAAGATTTAAATTAGGAGTAGCATGATGCACAAACAATGATCATCAACTTATTTTTTTTTTCTGACAACCGTTGTTAATTCTACTCATAACTGCTGTACAATCACATCATTGACCTCTACATTTACATAAATAAATGCTTGTTCTTTTACTCCCTCAACAATATCAAAATGCAAATCTTGTGCTCATTGATATTTGACTCTCGTAAATCCTAAGAATAATTAATTAATTTTTATTTAAATTGGCTTGACGGAATCATTTTTCTCGATGGTAAAAAATTGTAAAATTTGACTTAATTGGTTAACTTTAAATACCTCTTGCGTCGTATTCTTTGCAATAAATACAAATCTCTTCATTGGTTTCTTGCACGATTTTGTCAGTTTTAGATAAAATATTTAGAATTTCGTTTTGAATTTGGGGACTTATATAGCGCCCTCAGTGCTCCCGGACCTGTCAGTCCCTATGAAACTTATGCCGCTCGCTCTCTCCTACGTACTGATAAGCTGTATGGCTGAGCGCTGTGTAATCACCACATTCTACAATAAAAAGGTGTGTAGTGATTTTGGCAATTGGTATGATCGGAACGGCGGCGGCCGCCGCCCGCTCGTCACCCAGCCAAGCGAATATGAACAGTGGCATTCCGGTGGGGGTGGGGGAGGTACGTGGAGCTTCAAACCAAGGCCCCACACACCAATGTCAAGGAGGTCCAACGCGCAACCAAAATTGAACGTTGCCCCGTCCGCCATGATGATGGCAAAAGCGCCTGAGCTGAGAATACACATACAGCGTTTCGGAAATAAAAGCATGAATAAACATTCAGTTAGATGCATCAATAAGAAAATATTCGTAATAAAACGTATTTTTTTATTCTTCGGATCAATGATATTCCTTAACAAAGTTCATAGATACATTTTCTTGTTTAATAGAGAACATTTTATGGCTAATCTCAACTGCAAAACTGCTTGTTATAAACAAATTATATTGGGTTTTGTTTATACAAACGTTTACTGGCACATGGACAACCTTTCATAATGAAGTATGATGGACATGAAGACAATCTTTGTGTTTACAAATGTTCCTAAGAGCACAACTTGATTGTACACAAGATTTAGAAGGAAAATTGGACACTAATAAGTTTCAATTAACCTATTAGTATAACACTTAAGGACAAAATTGAAGAAATGAAGTCTTGAATATGGAAATAAATTATTACAAACATTCTAACCAATAATATTTAATAATTATAGAGAACTTTTTCTTTTGAAAGGATTTTGTGAAATTTGACAGGGTTGTAATAAAACTGACTTTTTTTTTTTGAGAAATAGAATTTTATTTATTGGTTCATGAAGGTGATTGACTTTGTGCAATGCTATCTTATTATTTTTTTATGTAATAAACTATTGTGACATTCTGCTAAGTGGTAAAGCTTGATTTTAACATACAAACTTACGAATTTAGATTCGTACAACCGAATGCTGCACAGCAACTGACCATAATGTTTCACTAAAAACTTTAATTATAAAATGAACGCTCGTAAACGCACATGGGCTT